TGATCTTTAATTGAGACCAGACTTTTTGACGAATGGGAGCAGGTTTTGCTTCAGATGTTTCATATTTCATTGTACCCAGACTCAAGCCAACCTGTGTCAGGTGCAGCTACAACCCAAGGACTAAAGAGAATCTTCTTGTGTTTTACAGCAGATTTAACGCTGGTTCTTAGAAACATTCAGTTTTAAAAAAGAGTTGATGTAACTTAAATAAAGAGCAGCAAATACAGTTAGACAATCAGTGTTTGTCCTCTACAAACGCCTATTCTCCAGAAACACCCACTTTTGATCTGCAGAGAACCCCTTCTCACTAATTCACAACTCCAGTCCCTGGTTGGGCATTTCTACGCATTAAAATACCTACAATTTATCAATGAATATACAGTAACATATTCCTGCCTACATATTCATGTAATTGACCTTACAACTTTCAAATTCATAATAAAAACTATACAATAAAATACGCACAATTCAAAACTCTAGATACAATAAAAATACAAAACATTTTCCTCCATTCATATTCACAGACAACCTCGCAACTTCCAAATTTAAATAAATACCCTTGCACATCCTCACACATTCAGCTAATATACTAAAAACTGTAAATATAATACTAACTCACCAATACATACACTCCTACACATACTTCCTCATCCATTAAAACTGAATGTTAAGAACAATCCCATCTTTGATAAGAACATTATATTGTAAGAACATAATAGACCAGTGTTCTAGTGGAGACTTCATCTTCTTCTTCATGCTGTTTTATGGTGGTTGGCAAATAATGGCAGGTGTGCATTACTGTCACCTATATGGAGGGTGGATCAAAATGTCTATATTTTGTCTACAATTACGTTTATGTTCTATATACCAATTTTATGTTTCTAAAAAAATGTGTGATAATTTGAATACCTTTACTTCTCATTTTATTTTGTAATATATTTATTATCTTAAATGTTTCTTTGATTTTTCCCAATTCTTCAATTGTACATCTTCTGTGATGTTCATATTTCTGATAAACCAAAATGACATGTTCTATGGTTTCCTCTTGTCCACAGTGCTCAGTCCATTGTGTCCAAATCTTAGTCTGGTTAATAATCTTCTCTTCTTTTCCTTCCTCGTGTTCTCATTTCTCCCACTTGTCTCTGGATTCTGTAACATCATCTTCCTTTGCGCTCGTCTTCCCATTGTTTTTGCCATTGTCCCTTCAGTTTTTGTTTCTCTTACTTCTACTGATTTACTGATGGATACTGTCAAGTTGATTTTTTTCTTTCAACCTTTATTTAGACTGATAAATCACTTTGAGCCTAGCAGACTCATTTACAAATGAGATCTGTTTAGACAGACAAAAAGTAGTGAAACTGGACACATGTAGATATTGGAGGCGAACTGGCTGAGAAGAAAAACTCTAATATTAAAAAATACCTCGCACAAACAAGCACATAGTGACGTAGATATTCTGCAGAGTGGGGGAGACGACAAGAGCGGTGAGCAATGTTCATAGATGCTCTCGAGGGCACTTTAAGAGTTCTGATAAGGATGGAATAATCAGCTAGTTTCCTCTGGTGAGATCCATAAACATTCTCAAGGTATGTCGGGGAATGGACAAGGACAACGCCTATGGGAATTCAAGAGTTCTGAAATGATGACACAATGTTTATTCAGCTGTTTTCCTCTTGTTGATCAGTTGGAAATTCCTCGGGTGTGTGTGTGTGTGGGGGGTGGGGGGGTGGGGGTGGGTGGATGAGCATCAGATCACATGTTCTCCAGGCAAATTCAGATAAGGTGGTAAATCCAATTAAATATGCGTCCTTAAAATCCACAAATGGCAGCAGAGAAAGACACATCGTCAAGTCTTCAAGTCGATGAGATATCCAGCTGCGTACGTGCCAACAGGGCAAACCGGCTCGCCTAAAGCCTGTCTTCTTTTCGAAGAAATGTTATCAATTGTGTTGAGGGACCAACTGATCAAAACAAGTCCATAATTATGGTTCGGAAGATATGCAAGAGAGGCTCAGAAGCAGTTTCACAGACAGAACAGCAAAGCAAAGTGGAGAGGGAGGGGGAGGGAAAAGCATCCGACCTCGTGAAGAGCAAGTGGTGAAGTGATCCTTTGTTGCTGCTTCTTCCCCTCTGATATGTGCTAGTGCCCATAAAAATGTTACTGCTAGTCCCATCACTCATATTCTGAATAATGTTTGTTGTACTTCTAGTAAAATGTCCGATCAGCTATCTCATTTCTAGCAAAGACTTATAGATCCCAACAGCCTTATAGACCCAGGTAAGCTCATCAGCTGAGTGGAAACAGCTGCAGGTATTTGGCTCCGCCTTGCCACTCAGGAAGCTGCGAGAACTGTGGTAATGATGAAAAACACCCAGAATCCCCCCAAACTGGACTGAAAGGAAACAAACAAAACTACAAAGACGTCTCAAATGTTGACAAAACATCTATACAAAATACCACAAATGATCTCAGTAACACAAAACGACAACAAAAACATGCCAACTGACTTCAAAGACAGACAGAAAAGTTTTCAAAGAGATAAATGAACGACAAATAGATGTTTCAAAAGAAAACGGGAGACATGAAACGATATGTTGAAGGAAGCAAAATGTTCTCAGAGACACAAATAACATCAAAGGAAATAAACAACAACAACCAAAAGCCTGAAAGACGACCAGCACAGCCACAAGACACAATACAAAGACCCACACTGATGAGTCAAGTGCCTTTGAGTTGGGGAGTTTTTATTGTTAATGTGATTTTAGGTTGATCCTGTGTGACACAATGTTTAATACACAACCCATCACCTTAAGTTACAAAACAGAGTGTTGTCTCTGTATCACCATCCTTCTTTTATTTCCTTGAACATCACCCCAGACTGTGTTTAATCACAGCTTATACATTTCCTCTTCCCTCCCCATGTTTGAGGATTTTATCTAAAATATTCTTGAAAGTTCCCCTCTCTTATTCTTTTGTTTCCTGCATGTGTGGGTTTTGTCTTCCAGTCCTCCACCCGCTCCACTAAATGATTGCTCCAAAGTTAATTGCAGTATCTGCACTGCAACACACTGACCACGATTGGATTACAGTGGGATTTAATGGATGGAAGGACTTTTTCTGCTCTCTGGAATTGATTGTCTCAAGTGACTGCCAGCATGTGATGGCTTTACATGAGCTGTAAGAGTGGCCCGTTAAAGGTTGCACTGGTATTAAATAAGTGTTCTACAATACCCCACCAAAAAGAAATACTTTAATTTAGGCTCCAATCAGAAGCGTTTATAACGTGGGTGGGGGGTGGGTTTGAATAAAGTAGCCATTTCCTGCATTCTGGTGTATTTTAATGGGTTGCTAAACATTTACGTTTAAACACTTGACTCAATAAATAGTTTAGAGAGCACATCACAACAAGAAGAAGTCTGACCAACAGCTCTCCTTGTTTGAATAGAGCACGGTCCGCTTCTCTCACGCATCCTAAACCCCACTATCCCAGTTGACAACTGCTGGCACTAAGGTAGCGCTAAGCTAGCTCGTAACACAGAGTTGTCGCCCCCTCCTCCCCCCCGCCCCATCGACAAAACCCCCCAAAGAGATGAGGGCCCTGCCAAGGCTGAAGAGAAACACTGCATGTGATGTGGTGAGTTGTTGTAGGTCACCAGGAAAACATGGCGTGGACATTTAGTGGTTTGAGTATTCTCCCATTAATCAAGTGGAATGGATTTGTTCACGAAGAAAAAGAAACAGCACTGGGTGAACTAATATTTCATGGTAAATGTGTGTTTGAGTGGGTGGTGGTGGTGGTTCCAAACAAATATTTTTTTAAATGTGAGGAGGACACATCCACTTCACATATAAATAATTGTTGCAACGCCTGTGAAACTAATTGTTAGTGCATCAATCCAGTCACAGTTAAACTCCATTTCTTCAAACTGAGCTTTTTCAAAACGCAGTCTATGGTAGACATAAAGCTTCAGTTACAAAAATACAACTTGATCTAATGAAATGGTTGTTGTGCCACAGTTGTATTTTTGTAACTGAAGCTTTTTGTGCTCCTTCTGATGTTACAATCACTTCGGATCACTACATCTACTGTATCTTCTACTGTAGGTTGTCGATGACCACAATGTCTGGTTGGTTAACCAGGACCTGTTTGTCAGTTTGACACTGGAAGTCCCACCATGTTTTAGCCCTGTCATCCTTTGTCACCCTCTGAGGAGTGACTTTGTCAGAGTCAGACTCTGATGGTGGAAGCTCCAGTCCGTACCCTGTACCATATATGCTTTGCCTGCATGGATCTTACATCCTGCTACTATGTGCTGGACAGTCTCGGAGGCATCTACAGCCTGCATCTTGGGTCCTGTCTGGTATGGTAGGACCCACACTACACTACATACTGTTGCCACTTACAAATATGCAATATTGGATCATTTTCCTCAATAAATAAATGACCAAATATAATATTTTGTCTCATTTGTTTTACTGGGTTCTCTTTATCTGCTTTAAAGGACTTGTGTGAAAATCTGATGATGTGTTAAGTCATATTTATGCAGAAATATAGAAAAATCTAAACGGTTCACAAACATTCAAGCCCCACTATAT